GCCACTGAGGCTTCGGCTGCTGGCCTGTTGGCAGCTAAACGCTCTGAGGCTTCGGCTGCTGGCCTGTTGGCAGCTAAACGCCACTGAGGCTTCGGCTGCTGGACTCAAAGGTTTCTGTTGTTTCCTGCAGGACAGTGGAGCTGACTTTAAAGTTCTGTGTCATGGTTGTGAATAATTAAGACCTGGTTCGTGTCCAACACGTGCTCGAGCAGGTGCAGAACATTTGCTCCAAGCTGCTCCGGATGATTTATCAGGTGCGGTTGACTGTGCAGGTTTAATCTCTGGTTGGGGGGCTCCTGCAGGTGCAGACCCTGTGATRTAGGTCAGCCATGTGCGTGTCAGTAATGAGCTGAATCCAAGGTTTTGTCCAGAGTCTCCAGTGGTTCTGCTTCTGTTCCATTTACAGCTCCTGCTTCACAACATGGAAACTGTCAGGCTCTGAGGGGCTTTTATTCTGAAAAAACTTTCATTTGTTTGTTGTGCTTTTGTTTTGCAAGGACACATTTATCATTAAAAACCTGGCATTCCTTAAGAAAACTATCACCACCCATCATCTTTAAACTGAAATAAATTATTTTTTATTTTACAGAAGCTGTTTTGATCAAATCTTATAATTCTGCACAGACTSATGTATTCTCTGAGTGCTGGTGTCATGAGTTTTTTGTCTTTTATTGTGTAGATCAGAAGTAGTTTCTATGTTTTTGGTCAGATTCTTGTTTAATTTACTCTTGTTACTGTCCATTATTTCAGAATCATTCCTGKTGTTTCCCTGCAGTCCTGCTCCTCACCATCCATTGAGCTAAACTCTTATTTTGAAGGAAACTGTTTAAGACTTCACGTTCAGCTTGAAACATTTTCCTGTTTGCTCTTTTTTACTTTAAGTAGAAACACCTGAGGAGGCATACATTCAACTGTCTGTGGCTCCAAAGCTGTAATTAAGAGAAAATTGTTTTAKTTATTCTGGATCAATAGAACGAGCTGACCAATGTAACTCAAAATCTGCTGAGTCACTATTTCCTATGATGATTGTCATTTTTCTTTTTCAAAAAGCAGGAGTAGTGGTGTGTGTGTGTGGGGTGGGGTACTGTTTATCAGACAGGTAAATGTGAAACAAATTAAACTGTTAAAACAGTAGCTTTGGGGAAAACTGTGGGTCAAATCAAAAATGTATTTTCTGATGAGTTCAGGAGAATACCCATTCAGTCACAGGAAGTGAAGGAGAGTTTGAGTGTGCACGGTGTGCACGGTGTGCACGGTGTGCACAGTTTGCACTCTGGAGGGTTTTAGAAAAGCTCATCAGTCCTGCAGCAGACATGATGTTAAACAGACACGACACACAGGACTGTCTGCTCTGCTCAGGCTGCTGGAAATAACATTATTTTGACATTAACATGTTTATCAGTCACATTTCTGTGCAGGAATGTCTGGATGAGCTCAGCTAACAGGTGTAATCTAAGATTAACAGGTGTTTTTGTGTGTAATGAATGTTTGTAGTTTTGATGATGAGTTTCAGGAGAACATCAGTAAACCTTCATGTTTCTGGTTCAACATATTTAAACAGGAAGGAGTTCCACTCTGCTGGAACAGGGAGGGTGCAGTTCTG